ATACTTGGAATGATATACCCCGAATTGCGGTTTGACGCCTGGATATGCCCGCTCATGTGTTTACAACAGAGGAGGTAGCAGATGAAAAACCTTGGTATCCTGATATCAAGCATTTTCTTCAGACTCAAAAATACCCGATCGGTGCATCAAAGAAAGATAAAAAGACACTGAGAAGATTGGCTGGTAGTTTCTTCCTCAATGAAAAGGTGTTATATAAGAGAAATTATGACATGGTCTTGCTCAGATGCATGGATAGACACGAAGCAGACATGTTGATGCATGAGATTCATGAAGGTTCATTTGGCACTCATGCCAATGTACATTCAATGGCTAAAAAGATGCTAAGGGCAGGTTACTATTGGTTGAAAATGGAATCTGATTGTTATAAGTTTGCAAAGAAGTGTCATAATGCCAGATTTATACAAACAAGGTCCATGTGCCTCCAACACTTCTCAATGTGATTTCCTCCCCGTGGCCTTTCTCTATGTGGGGTATTGACATTATTGGGATGATAGAACCCAAAGCTTCAAATGGACACTGTTTTATCTTAGTAGCAATTGATTACTTCACCAAGTGGGTAGAGGCTGCTTCATATGCCAATGTTACTAAGCAGGTGGTTGTGCGCTTCATTAAGAATAACCTTATATGTCGGTATGGTGTGCCAAGCAGGATTATCACTGACAATGGCTCGAATTTGAACAACAAGATGATGACAAAACTATGCAAAGAATTCAAGATTGTCCATCATAATTCATCTTCATACAGGCCTAAGATGAATGGGGCTGTTGAAGCTGCTAATAAGAATATCAAGAGAATTATCCAGAAAATGGTTGTTACTTATAAGGATTTGCATGAAATGCTTCCTTTTGCTCTGCATGGATATCGAACATCTGTCTGCACTTCAACAGGAGCAACCCCGTTCTCCCTGGTGTATAGAATAGAAGTTGTACTCCCTGTCGAGGTAGAGATTTCCTCGCTGCGTGTGATAATGGAAACCAAGTTGACAAAGGCTAAATGGGTCCAAAACAGGTTTGACCAATTGAATTTGATTGAGGAGAAGAGAATGACAGCTTTGTGTCATGGCCAGTTGTATCATTGAAGAATGAAGAAATATTTTGATAAAAAGGTCAAACCTCGTGAATTCAGAGAAGGCGACCTCGTGCTCAGAAAGATCATGTCTTTCAACACTGATTCTAGGGGCAAGTGGACTCCCAATTTTGAAGGCCCATACGTTGTCAAGAAAGCCTTCTCTGGCGGTGCATTAATTCTTGAAACTATGGATGGCGAGGAGTTCCCACGTCCCATGAATGCTGACGCAGTCAAGAAATACTTCGCCTAAAGAAATAAAAGAACAACTCGCTAAGTTGAAAACCCGAAAGGGCGGATTAGGCAAAAAGGAGCATCTTGGTAGGCCGAAAACCCGAAAGGGCGGTCTAGGAAAAAATTAGAGACATAAACAGAATAAAATTCCCACTGAGTTGAAAACCCGCAAGGGCAGCTTAGGCAAAAGTTAGGGACTTTCTAGGCAAGTAACTACGTTAGACAAGATTTGATCATTGAAGCAATACTCTTCTCGGATCCTCACCATACTTCAACAGAAGCCGATGCTCAAGATTTCAAAAGTTGTTAGAGGAGATAGTGGTCATTGTATCTCAATGTATCTTTTCCAATATATATTACCATTTTTCGAACTTTGTAATCATCTATGGAGTCTCGCCATTCGCAGACTACCATTCTATTAATGAAATTTGAGATTTTACCCAATTCTTTGTATTTCTTATTTTATTTAGTCTGCAAAGACTCTATTTATTATTGATAATACATTTCAAAGCAAAAAAAAAAGATTAAATAACAAAATTGACTTTTAAAAAAAAAGAGATTTTACAATCTGTTTTACTTTGAGATTTGTGATGAAACAATGACAACAAAAATGGTGATCCAAAGAATGGACAAACTCCAATTGCTTTGAGAAGTTTTTGTTCCCCTCGGGAAGGTCTACTCGGGTTGTTTTCGCCATATTGGGTTTATGGTTCCGGTATCCTCGGTCAAGTTTGGATTCATTTCTCCTCTTTCCTGAGTTTTCATGATGTGAAGTTTCAATCCGCATTTTCTCCAGTAAAGTTTTCTTTTGGCCCGATAGAAGTTCTTTTTTCCAGAGAGATTAGTACCATACCCGCTCTTGAAGAACGTAGGTCCCTGGTTTCTCCAAATGAGGGACGTATTGTGAATATGATGTTAACCTCGCCAATGAAGTGAGTCTGATTTCCCCAATGAATGTTCAGATATTTTGGTGTCAGTCTGCTTTGCTTGAGACTGGTTTTGTAATCTCCAGTAGGAATGTTACTTTCGAAAACACTTGTTTCCCCAGTGAAGCCTGAAGAAGGATGTTATATCCTTGTATCTGTACTATTTCACCACTTTGATTTATCTACCTCCGGATCATGTTTCTGCTCAGTAAAGTTAAAGCAGACAATAGGTTTTGTTTCCTCAGCTGCCCTTTACCTTTCTTGGAATGATCATCCTGGATGAAGTTTAGACGAGTGTTGTTAGTGCCTGAGGCAGTTTTACCTGGTTGTTCCCAATGTTGTATATATATTGTTTCGGCATACGCACGATAATGCTCATACATTCATGCATACATCATGCATAGCTAAAATTGGCAAGTCATTGTTCATTGACATTTGTTAATATTTTTGTTTATATATTACCCTGTTTTGCAGATTTACGTTGTCCTCTCTTCAATAGAGTGTTGGTCATAAGCAGAAAGTGTATATTCTTTCAATGTCCCCACTGAGTTGTCCCTCATGGAAGATTTTTGCTTTAGCCTTCCGGTATAACTCCTTGTTTGGTTGGATTTGGTTTTCCCTCTTGAGTTTATTTCTCAAAGGATGTATTCTGGTTGACTGTTCATTCCAGTTTATTTCTGGTTTGAATTTGTTGTTCCACGACAATGTTATTTACTTTGGATTTCTGAAAACTCCAGATTTTGGTTGGTTCATTTATTTTGCACGAGAAGACTTTATCCCCTCAGCAAGAATATCATGACATCTCCACAGGAAGTCATACCTCCTTCCTGAAAAGCCATTTCTTTTTACAATCTTTCGTGACAACAAGTAGCAAATCCCTTCTCACTATCACATTACATTTCATTCTCCATATACTTGAATGCTTGAGTGCTAACCTTGCTTAATCATCTCTTCGTCGCATCAGAATCTTACTCTAATATATCAAGATATATTATTTTACAGTTTATTGATTAATCTAGTTCTATACAAAATAATTTCTAAATAAACTACAAATACTTTTTCGTGCTAATAATGGTTAAAAAATAAACAAAAATATAAATAAAATATAATCTGTAACATTATGGGTGTTTGCGGTGCGATTTGGGTGGTTTTGAAGCAAAAAATCATCTGAACCGCAAGAGAAAAAACATACGGTTCGGTTTGGTTCGATTGACTTTTAAAAATAAATTCGAACCAAACTAAACTAAACCAAACCAAACTAATGCGGTTTGGATTGGTTCGGTTGGTTCAGATTTTTACAAAAAAATTATTAAGTCATACATACACATATAAAAGAAAATATAATTTAGTGTTTAATTGTTCTTACATTACCATAAAAAAATTTATAATTGTCAAAATAAGTTTATAATTTGATACCTAAAATTGCGTATTATAATTTTATCTAAATCTAAAGAATGATATAGACAAGATTGAATTCTTAAATAAATATTATACAAAGAATATAATAAAATATATTTTGTGAAAATAGTATTCATAAATGAATAATATTTTATTTTTTATGATTTGTAAATTAAAATAAATATCATGCAAAGTATGATTATATACACATACTACACGTTGATTTCTCTAAAGAATTAAAGAAATATATGTTTGTTAGTAATATTTTATAACATAATACGGTTTTGTTTGGTTTGGTTCAGTTTCTAAAATACAAACTGTAAATTGAACCGAACCGCATGGTTCCATTAGAAAATGATCCAAACACATCCAAATCAAATACGATTTTTTACGATTTCGATTTACGATTTTCTATTGGACCAGTGTAATTTTGAACACCCCAATGTAACACTATCTATAAGTATACAAAATCTTATTTATAATTTCTATTTATTTATAATTTCAATTTATAGATAGAATATAAATAAAATAACTTGAGCTATACAAACAATCTAAAACAACTATCATTACCATTTCACTAAAATAAATGGTAAAGATTATCTATTTATGAAACTTACATATCTTCCTATGGAATATAAGAATCTTAAATAAATTTGTCCATCCAAAAATACTCATAGAGAAGACCTTTTGTTATTTTTTTCCATTTCCAAAAAGTAAAAGCAAAATAAAATAGTTAATGATTGAAAGTTTCAATTTTCAATGGGTTCACAGCCTTTTTCCCACTGTATGTGAATGTGAATGACGAGCGTGTTGTGTGACAGACAGTGTAGCTCATCTTCCTTCTCAAAGTCGTCTCCACGTTCTCTCTTCGTGCTCTATGTATCTTCCTTCATCTATTGCTTTTTTCAGCTAATTTTTACTTTTTTTCTTCTCTCACTTTCTTTCCACTCTCTTTTCATAATTCATACCAAATATTCTTTATTTTTTTATTTTTTGAGATCTGGGTATGCTGCTTTTTGTTCTTATTGTTTTTATTTAGGTTATTAATAATGCTGAGTATGTGATTTTTCATTGATTTGTGAGTTTCTTTTTCCGAATTGTGAAATTTCAGTATTGTTAGGTTCTGTAGACTATAAAAGTATTAGGAAGTGGGTTGTTGTTTTAGGGTTCAACATTTACTTGTGGAAGAGTTGATTTGAAATCTGAGGTTTGATCTGGAGTTTTTATGTTGTGATTACTGTGTTTATGGAGTTTTGAGTGTTGATGAAGGGTTTTGGTTTTGGAATGAAGTGAGTGATTTGAGTGTTTTTTGGTTGGTGCATTGTGTTATTTGAGGGAACATTTTTGTGGAGAGTGATGGCTTCAATTACTCTTTCTCCAAATGCTTCACCTGTTGTTGCTTTGACTCCATCATCTAGTGTTGTTGTTTTGTCACCACCTCCATCACCTATACCGGGTTCTTCTCTGTCGAATCAAACATCGAATTCTCCTCCTCCTTCGTCGCCTTCTGACCCTTCAGCTCTTCCTCCTTCTGACCCTTCAGCTCCTCCTCCTTCTCCTCCACATACTGTGCCTGTTACTCCTCCTCCTTCGCCGCCCGTTTCTCCTCCTCCTTCGCCGCCCGTTTCTCCTCCTCCGTCTCCGTCTCCACCACTTTCTCCTCCACCATCAACTACACCGCCGCCAAGTTCTCCACCACCATCGCCACGTGCATCACCACCTCCACCAGTTGTAGCATCACCACCTCCTGCACCGCTTGTAACATCACCACCTCCTGCACCAGCTACTACCAATTCCCCTCCTCCTCCTCCACCTGCTACTACTGCCCCTCCTCCAGATGAAACTTCACCTACGCCTCCAAACTTCTCTCCACCACCTCCAGCGGCGGGTTCCCCTCCCCCTAAATCATCGAAGCCATCGCCTTCTCAAACAATTTCTCCGTCTCCACCACCTCCTTCTCCAGATAATGAATCAAAGCCACCATCTGCCAATCCTCCTCCTGCACCACCACACGCAAAGCCACCGAAAAGTACTCCTTCGCCTCCCTTACGTGACGCATCCCCTCCATCAGTTTCTCAACCACCTCCTTCACATGATGCATCCCCTCCATCTGTTTCTCAATCACCTCCTTCCCCTTCAACTGTTCCACCTCCACCCACATTGCCATCAACTCTTACTTCAGGACCTGCAGCAACTCCTACTAACGAAACAGTACATGGTGACAGTCCAACTGTGCCATTTCCATCTATACCAAGTGTTAACGGTTCTGATAATATAGCCACAAACAACGCTCCTTCACATTCAGGAGGGTTAAATACCGGAGCTGCTGTTACTATTGGCGTTGTAGTTAGTTTAATTGTCCTCAGCCTTCTTGGTATCGCTGTGTGCTTTTTACACAAAAAGAAAAAGGGAAAAGGATCCAGATCTGATTATGCTGCGCCTTCTCCATATACCTCATCTCACAATTCAGGTATTGCACTTTGCACTGGAAATTATTATAAATATACTCTCTTGTTAATTATTCATGTTGTTTCTTATTCACCTTCATTATTTGCTATTGACATGATACTGAAGATTTTTCCAGCACTGCATAAACTTAAACTAGATAATCTTGGTTACACCGGATTCTGGATTTTGGTTCCTGGATATACTGCAATAATAAATAGAAAAGTCCCCAGATTCTGGTTCTTAAATATTCAATATTGACTCAAGGGGTTCATTCATTTGATTTTGCATATATCTATACTGAATATTTTTTCCAAGACATTAGAACCGGGTTATTAGTGACAGCTTTCGGTAGCTTACAGTTTTTTACTGGTTCAAACCTCCATGCTGTCCTTTTAGCCCTGCCAAAAAGAAAAATGCTTTCACTCATTTGTGGCGTCTTTGGTTTGAGAAATTTTAGTTGATTAAGATTATTAAGTTGGATAATTCTAGTAAGACTTTACTTCTTCTACAAATTTAGGAAATTAGCTGCGTTATGTTTGAATTGCAAGGCATATATAACTGCCGCATGTTAATAGTAACTGTAAATTGCTGCTACAATATTTGTTTTTAAACATTGATATTCTCCTATAGGGACCTTGTTCTTAAAGCCATACGCTCCAGCCAATTTGAATGGGAGTGGCAATGGCAGTGAATTTGTGTATTCACCACCAGAGCCAAGTGGAGTAAATAATTCAAGATCATGGTTAACATATGAAGAACTAATCCAAGCTACAAATGGGTTTTCAGAGCAGAATTTGTTGGGAGAAGGTGGATTTGGTTGTGTCTACAAAGGTTTGCTAGATGGAAGAGAAGTAGCTGTAAAACAGCTTAAAATTGGTGGTGGACAAGGGGAGCGTGAATTCAGAGCAGAAGTTGAGACTATTAGTCGAGTACATCATCGTCATCTGGTTTCTTTGGTTGGTTACTGTATATCTGAGCATCAAAGATTGCTCGTCTACGACTTTGTTCCCAACGATACTCTTCATTATCATCTACATGGTAAGATACGTGTCACACTCATCAAGCTAGAGACGGAAAAAGGAAATTGAACATGTATGAACTGTGTCCATCTAAATTTCGATCTAAAACATGACCAGTAATTTAATTTTTGACAGACGAAAAAGCACCCATGTTGAATTGGCCTATCAGAGTTAAGGTTGCTGCCGGTGCAGCTCGTGGAATAGCTTACCTACATGAAGACTGTAAGTTTCCTCTTTTTCTCTCAGATTTGTAGTTATCCAAAGAAAACATAGCTTTTCCATGGTACTACATACGTGTTCCTTTTAGCTTAGACACTGTCTTGCGAAATGCACATTTTTTTTAAACTATGCTCATGTAATTCTTCCGATATTTTTCAATCACAATCAAAATTCATCAGATGTAATTCTTCCGATATTTTTCAATCACAATCAAAATGCATCAGAGGTGGTTCATTATTGTCATTTGCAAATTTAGAATTGTTTGTGTTTCTAAGCTTGATCTTTTTGTTTTTTATAGCATATTGTTTTAAATTTTCATCCTGTTTCTATTTGATTATTTTTCAGGCCATCCACGCATTATTCATCGAGATATTAAGTCATCAAACATCCTTCTCGATCACAACTTTGAAGCTCTAGTAAGCCACTTTTATAATCTATATCCTCTGATGCAGAATACTTAATAACTTTTTGAAGTATTGTGCGCTGTGTAAATCGATTCATTCTTAAAAGATAGCTTATGCCGAGCATCTCCGAGTTGATGTTTCTTCGCTTTTTCTAATTGGGACTTTTTGTTTTATTGATATTATTTGGCCAACAGGTTTCAGATTTTGGGCTTGCGAAATTAGCATTAGATTCAAACACACATGTAACTACACGTGTAATGGGAACATTTGGGTAGGTTAAACCCCTCCGTTTGCAGTATTGCTTGAGTCATATTTTTATGTTTACATATGAAAATAAGATCTTCATAAGTTGTTTTCATAAGATCTTTCAGAATGTCTCTGAAGTGCACTGTTATCATTCTGAGTATATATAATCGAATAATTTGTTCTGAATTGGCAGGTATATGGCACCAGAGTATGCCACGAGTGGAAAGTTGACTGATAAGTCTGATGTATATTCCTTTGGTGTCGTGCTTTTGGAGCTAATTACAGGTCGGAAGCCCGTAGATGCATCTCAGCCACTTGGTGATGAAAGCCTGGTTGAATGGGTGAGTTACACATTTACAAGCTTTGTAGCACCAACATCTCTGAAAAAACGTAAGTCCGTGTCAGTGTCCGAAACTGAATGAAGTTTCACCGTGATTTAAATTTGAATTCCAGGCTCGGCCTCTATTGATTGAAGCACTGGATACTGAGGAGTTTGAAATTTTGGTGGATCCAAGACTGGAAAAGAACTACAACAGAAACGAAATGTTTAGAATGATTGAGGCTGCTGCAGCCTGCGTGCGTCACTCATCAGTTAAGAGGCCACGAATGAGCCAGGTAACTTTAGAACACGCCACTGTGATACACTAGTTAATTTGATTTTGAAGATACTAACTTTGATGCACATGCTTTGATTGTGTTCATCATCGTTTTCCAGGTTATGAGAGCCTTTGATTCCATGGCCGAGTTTTCAGATCTGAATAACGGAATGAAACCGGGGCAGAGTTCAGTGTTTGATTCTGCACAGCAATCTGCACAGATCAAAATGTTCAGGAGAATGGCTTTTGGAAGCCAAGATAGTTCCAGTTTCTTTAATGATTCTCAAAGTAGCTATGGAAGTAGGAATCAAGACTCTACAACTATGCTCCCTCAAAATAAATCTCGGCCTTGGAACGTTCGAGACGACCCTTTATAGCTGAACATATCTGCATAAATTTTCATGTGCGCTCGTGCGCACATACGTAGGTCAACCAGTAATTCCTCAGTAATATCTTGGTAGAGTTGTTGCATTTCTTACATTTTGCTGGGACAGGTGCTGTGGTTTACTGATTTGTAAATCTTTTATTTTTTTATTTTTATACTATTTTTATTCTCATTTTTCTAATGAGATTTACTCTGGTGACAAGTGAAGGCTTTAGAATCCATGTCATTTTCCTAATATTATTTGATATTAATATTTTTAATTCTTTTGAAATTTCAGACAGTCCCATGTGTTCTTTTTTTATAATACTATTTTTTTCATATGTTTAATACTTAAATACAAAAGAGAATATACTTTCATTCATATTATTCATATCTCACATATTAACATGCTAGGATCTTACATATTAGCCATAGTTTGCTCACAAAACTTCCTGATTGTTGAATAGTACAAATGGTTTTTAAATAGTATTAACCAAAAAATAAAATGATAACAAAAAATTCAAATTATAAAGAACTATTTGAATATTTTAATAATAATTTAACTTGTTTTTATTTATGTATATATACAACACTTTCACATTTTCTGCTTGAGAGAAATCTTGTGTTACCCAATCCAAACTATAATCAGATTCCAAAATAATTTAGAGCTTTCACTAGAATCGGTATGCCAAATTGAGGAAATCGTTAATAATGTAGAGCTTTCCCTAGAATCGGTCAGCCAATTGAGGAAATCGTTGCAGAAGCCATGTCACGCCCTTTATCAGTGTCTGCATAAAAATTGTTTCCAAAAGGATCAGTCTGATATCTTAATTGTTTTACAATAAGAAGATACTAAAATCAGAGTTTGGAGAGAACAAAAGGATTCCACATAGTTTTGGGAATTTGAGGCTCATCAATGTAGATGTGAAATTAGTTTAATTTATTACCAAATGACAACAATGTAAATTTTGGATCCTTGTCTAAATGCATGTTTGTAATAGCGATAGTATTCCCTCCGGTCACTATTATAAGCAAATATTTCTTTTTTAGGATCATTAAATAGTTGATGTATCTAGTCTACATAAAGGTTAGATACATAAATTATTTAATGAACCTAAAAAGAGAATTTTTGCTTATAATAGTGACCAGAGGGAGTATGTAATATAAAAAAAAAATTCAGAGCACGATAATTTTCCAGTGCTCAATAGCATTGCTGATGAAGAAAAATTCACATACCAAAGTTGCATCCCCAGGCTTGATTGCAGGTTCAACACTGTCTCGCCCGTATCTGTATATCCGAAAATATAAAGTTCATCAAGAAATTAAACTAGTAAAACATTAAAGTTTTGATGCAAATAGCCTAAAAGATTCAGAGTTTGATACATTAAGAACTATAGAAAATGAACAGGTATGGATAAATCCATAAAGCAGCAAAACCTGTGCACGAATACCAGGACACTCAAACAACAGAGAAAAAATTGTTTGAAGGTTCATATTAAGAAGTTACAATAAACTAATCTGCCAAAATCTGCAACCTTAACTGATAAAACAGCCCAAAAGCCATTGCAGTAACACATAGAGTCGCGATTCCTTTCACAGCAGTGTCATAAACGGGACACTGATACAGATCAAACCAGAAGCAGCCACCATAGATACCAGAAGCAGCCACCATAGATACCAGTGATGTGGAAAATAAAACAGTGATATTCTATAGATTGAGCCATTACACAAAAGTATCATTACTTACGTTATTTGTCTCTTGCCATCAATCACCTCCAATCGATAAAAACTGCATCCTTTGCTAAAGGGAAAAGGCTTTCCTTTCCATTCTGCAGGCAATAGCAAATGTTAATAATACATAACACTTTTCCAAATAAACCTAAGACTTTTTAACATATGATATCTACTTACATGACTTAATCAACAACTTGTTTACATTAATACAAAAATATAAATAAATGTTGCAATCAGATATTGAACCTTACACCAGCAATATACACTTATTTAACTCAATTAGCATATATCAATAGTATAGAAATCAAATGTATAGATATAAAGAACAGTTCAACTTGAATATGAAACACACCTAAATGCCAAATCACTCCAACCGACGATGAATCCTCCGTAGACAAATCATCAATAACAAACTGCAGATCTAAGCTTGTAGATTCAGTAAACTTCTTGAAGAACTCTAATATTTCCTGTAAAATAATACCAACAAAATTTCAGAAACCAATCTCCATAGTTAAATATTTAATCAAGAATTAAATTTCCATCAACTACCTTACGACCGACAAAGGGTCTAGGAAAGACAAGATCCTCGTACACACAATTTTCAGACATAAGATACTCTACAGAATCTACATCATGTCTATTGATTCCCTCATAGAAATTTCTCACCACCGTTGAAGCTGAATCTACGACACTATCATCGAAACGTGTGGTAGTTGTAACAGATTTATGAACCGCCATATTCCACTTTCTTCCTGTTCTTGTTCCAATTCCAACAACCTTGTTAACTGAATTTGGAGCATAGATTGTGATGATTCTTGTCAGTGACAAAGAAGTTAGAGGTGAAGTTGAGTTCAAAATTAGCGCTTGAGTGCTGCTGCTGGAACTACACACCACAGGCATTTTATGCTCAATTTCACCCACCACCGCATACACTCTTTAAACTTTATACTTTATCTTCACATTTTACCTTCCCAAATATTGAATTTCTTGCCTTTAAAAACATTCAATTATTATAATATATTATTTTAAAAATTGATATATAATTTAAATCTTAATTGGATAAAATCTTTCTTAACTTAAAAAACATATATGTCAAAAGATTAAAAACATATCATTTTGAATAAATGTTACAATGTAATTATTTGATTTGTAATTGGTTTTTAAGTTTAAAAGAGTTAGTTATATGACTATTTAAAACTTGCATGCATACAAATAACCAATAAAATAAAATAAAAGTATTTTATTTATTTAATTTTTTTTATTTTTAAATTAACATCATAAAGTGATTGTAATTACGAAAGAGAGAATATTTTATTTTTTTTAATTAATAAAAAAAAGTGATTGGCTGTTTGTAAAATTAAATATTATATTTGTGTATATTTAAGTTTTTTCAGAAAAAATTATTCTAAAAACTTTTTTCTTTTCTTTTGCGCCAATTAAAATTTTGAGAGAAATAAAAAATAGTTTTTTTTTTATGTATAAAATGTATGTTTTTTCCTCAATAGTTTAACATAGAATAGAAAATGGTTGTTCTAATGTCAAATCTTATGTTTTATTTTATTCGTCTTTATTTAATTTATTTTTCTTATTACATCGAAACATACCTATATTTATATTTTTAGAAACAATTAATAAAGAGGGAGAAATATTTTGAATTTATTTTAAATTTAATTTTTTTAACTGGAATCATGTTTGTAAAAAAATATAATTTTTTTAATTAATAAAAAAATTATGATTGATTGTTTGTAAAGTATTTTTCTATTACATCTAATCATTCTCTCTTTTTCGCAAAATTATAAAAAGCTTATCCTCATTTTACTAAAATATTTCTTCCTCTTTTCACGAAAATTCTTCTTTCTTCGTCTCCAATGTCAATTATTAAAGGTTGCATCAATAAAGATTAACCTTTCTCACTCATTTAATCCACCACAACCTACCAATTCGTCTACCATATACTTACCTTCCAGACCTTTGCAACCCACCACAATTTATTAATTCTTCTATCACAAATGAATCCACTAACACTACTTCAAACACAAACCTTAATTTAAACTATCAAATCAATATGCTTGATCATTTCTTTAAGCACCTTAATGACAATTCTGAGTCCGGAGTTGTTTCTTTTCCCTTAAACAACTCCAATTATCATTCTTGGTCCATATCAGTTAAAATTACTCTTCAATTTTAAAATAAATTAGGATTCGTAGATGAAACCCTAATCTGATCATCATCATCGAATGATAGCTCAAAAGCTTGGGATTGTTGCAATACAATGTAATCGTGTGGTTTATCAATTCAATTGAGGGAAAATTTTCATAAAGTCTCAAATGGATCGATACAACAAGAGATTTGACATAAACTTCAAGATAGATATCATCAATGTGATTTTTTTATTTACATATTAGACCTCCTTAAACAATTTTGCTCCTTTAAACAAGGAGAAAACACCATGACACAATACCTTGTAAGTACGAAGTGCGCCTAAGAGGGGGGGGGGGGGGGGGGGGGGGGGGGGGGGTGAATTAGGTACTTTAAAAAAATTCAGGTTTTAGTGATGATGGATATTATTTTTCTGGATTATGGTGAGTTTATGAAAGAGTAAAGTGCAGAAAAATAAAGAGACACGAGCGAGATATCCTGGTTCCCCTCACAGTCCGAGAGTACTTCAGTCCCCTTTCAACATGAAAAAGATTTCCTTATTGTGGCAAACTTAGACAAGAACTACCAAAAAGCCAAGAACAATCCTCTTGGATTTTCACTATGTCAACAATGAGAACAATCCTCTGAAAGTGACTACATTTGTATCCAACAATCCTGGAAAGACAAGATTCATAAAACCACTTAAACTTATTTCCAACAATCCTGGAAAAATAAGTAAATATCTATCAATATTTGATTTTGAGTGAGTTGAGTAGTATTGATCACTTAGAGTGATTTAACAATGAATGATCTTCTCTTCCAATGATAATAATGTACAATAACTCAAGATATAAATGCTCAAAGTTTTCTGTTTAACAATGTATGAAAGTATGCAGAAAACTTATGTATGAAAGTGAAGAAAAGCTTGAGTTTGTATTTTGAAAAATTCAGAAAATATATTTGGAAGAGGTGATGAAAATGATTTTGAAAATATTTATATGTTCATAACACCCTTTTGAAACATCATAAAGTTCTGTAAATGAATCATGAACAATTGCCAAGATTGAGTGAAAGGTTTCAATGAAAAAGTATTATGAACAGGCATGTGCAAAGCTGCTGTTTTTTCAAAATCGTGCAGCA